CAGTAGCTGAAGGGCACATGACATCCAAGAACAGTTTAGGATGGAAACACTACAACACGTTGGAGTGCTGATGTCAAAGATCCCACAGAGAGAAACAAAGTGATGACACAGGAGAGACACGAGAACTACAGGAGCAGTACTTTCAGAAGATGAGAGGAAATGGAATCCGGGGCCTAAGTATAGGAATTGGATTTTGCCAGGAATAGAGATACTTTAGCCATTTTATTATTTTTTTTAAAGATTTAATTTATTTATTCATGACAGACAGAGAGAGAGAGAGAGGCAGAGGGAGAAGCAGGCTCCCGAGGAGCAGGGAGCCCGATCCGGGACTCGATCCCAGGACCCTGAGATCATGACCTGAGCCGAAGGCAGACGCTTAACCATCTGAGCCACCCAGGTGCCCACTTTAGCCATTTTAATATAAGAAAAGTAGCAGACTTGGTATAAATATAGGTAGGCTAGTGACTTTAGTGGAAGAAAGAAAAGGAAACTGCCCTGTGGTGGCTTTCATTTTCTCAAATAAAGACAAGGTCTAAAAGAATGAGGTACAGAGGGAGGAAAGGGGGGTTACATTGGAGATTTAAGGAAAAGAAAAGGTCTGAAATGCTGCTTTTCAGGAATGGACATACTAGGGAATTGTAGGAATGCTGGCAATATTGAGTGTGCATTTGAAATTGAGATTATATGCTTACAGTGAGACCAGTCAGCAAGGTTATTTCCATTTTTCTCCAGCCATGTTCAACTCTGAGATACAACAAACAAGCTGGTCAATTTGGGTTTCAGAGGTGTCAAATTCTGCCACATGAGTAAAACAAAAGAATACAGGGGCAAGGAAACTAAAAGATTTTTGCAATGATGTGACTATAAGGTGGACCAATAAATCTAAACTGAGAAAAGAGGGAAGAGGACATGCATACTTCACAAAGCATGTCTTATACCCTCAAGTTGTCTATAAACTCAATGGCAAAACCATGAGTTCTATACTTATCTCACCAGAAAGCACTATAGAGTAAGCCTCCGCTGATTCCCATATTCCAGAACTCCAAATGACACAAACTTATCAGATGTACAAAACAAGAAATAAACAAGTTTTTTTAAAAACCAGCTTTCTAAAGATCTTGAAAGAAAAATAAATCTACAGTTGAAATGTCTTAGTTCTAAAGAGCAGGTGACTGGGTTCCCATGATATTTCCATATAAACAAAGATAAACTGCTGGACATTAATCAAAAGAAAACCATGACAAAAGAAATTAAACTTAAACACAATTAATTCACTTCATATGAGAAAATAAAGCCTAATAATTACTGCAGGGAATCCCATCTCAGAACAACCACCCCTGTCCCACAGAAAAAATTTTACTGCATTTCAGGCCCTTGCTCAGCAAATGCTAGCTAGTCAAGTGAACTGGAACTTTTACACTATTATCTATAACCTATCACATTAAAAGAACTCTAGAAGCTATGTGACCATCTACTAAAATACTCAGTGTGTGTAAATTACTGAAAGTCATTCATTTTCCCTACTTTATGTTTCTTTACAAATTTAAATAATGCCAGAAAATCCTAGAGAAACAAAGCATACTTTAAGTAGGTTAAATGAATATAAAAATTTCAGTATCATTTATACCTACAGATTTCCAACTATTCTTTACCTACGGCCAAAGAAATGGTTTAGTTGGGTCAGTTCAGTGAAATAAAGAAAAATTGGGTCCAGGAAGCATGTTAAGGAACAAAAAAAGATAAAAGGCTGTGTTCCTACTCAAGGCACCACACAGAACAAACCATTAGCAAAGAATTAAAATAGCTATGTTATCTGTAACATGAGAATACTAGATACTACTAAAGTTTTCTTTCTGCTCCAAAAATTCTATTCCTAACCTAGTGCTTTGGACTTCTTTCAAAGGCCTTTTTGAAAAAGAGTGCTAAAAGATGTAATCTTTCAATTCATAAGACTATTACATAGTCTCTTTCTTTGGATCACAATTAACAGAAAAGCCTGGAGGGGGGGTACAAAGACGAATATTTTTAAATCAGAAAAAAACTAGGCCAACTAAGCTAATTACTGGTGACCCTCTCTGTCGCATGCAACTCTGTGTTTCACACTCACTATTCTCACACCCTTCTCCTTCACTTCCTCTCCCTCTGAACCTCAGACCTATATCCCCCTGGAGGACTCTGAGGTTCCTGAAACCAAACATAACTTATTCTGGAAAACAGGAGTTAACAGTTTGTCAATGCAGGTCAAAGGTTCTTTCTTACCTTTATATCCTCATCACCAAATTTAGTGTCTAGTACATGCAGACACCTAACTTTACTCCTCTATATGAATTATTAGACCAGTGATTCTCACCAGTGATTACTTTTTAGAAATGTGAAATTTCAGGTCCCACCCAGACCTACTGAATCAGAAATGCTGAGAGGGGGACCCAGCACTCTGCTTTTAAAAGCCCTTCAGTTAAGATTCTGATACACACTCAAGTTTGAGAACCGATGTATTAACATGACAAGAAATCATCTCATTACCCCAGTGGCAAACAAACCAAAAAAAAAAAAAAAAAAAGCTGATTTCTCTCAGCTGCCACCACTTACAAATGCTGGGGCCCACATGATACACAAGATGAACTTCAGAGTCAAATAACTGAGTTTAATTTATGGTTCTTGGATTTAACAGCTCTGTGACATTATAGCTAAAGTTCCCTCATCTGTAAAGTAGAAATAGTATCACATACCTCCATGAATGAGAGATCACTTATAGAAGGACGCCTGGATGGGGCGCCTGGGTGGCTCAATTGTTAAGCATCTGCCTTCAGCTCAGGTCATGATCCCTGGGTCCTGGGATCGAGCCCCACATCGGGCTCCCTGCTCCGCGGGAAGCCTGCTTCTCCCTCTCCCACTCCCCCTGCTTGTGTTCCCTCTCTCGCTGTATCTCTCTCTGTCAAATAAATAAAATCTTTAAAAAAGAAAGAAGGCTGGCACACAGAAGACCTTTAATGAATTTAAGATCTTTTCCCTTTTTTTCCTACTACCTGTACCAAGTCTCTGCTACTTCATACAGGCAATGCTCCTCAAGAACAGCACTCTGGCACTCCTCTGAGAATGCCCTCTACACAGAAAAACTCTCTAATGAAGTTTTTCTTATGGAAAATACTCTAGGAAGGAAATGAAGTACTGAGTCCTACAGAACAGCCATTCCAAAAAGGTAGTCCAAAAGCTAGTAGGAAAAGCAAATCATATAAAAGTGTGCGCTTTCATAACTTAAAAAGCATAAAACAGAACATAGGCAACTTTCTCTTAAGTGGTCAAAATAAATCACCAGTAGTAACTGGACAAAATGTGACATTTGGGGGGGGGGCGGTGTTAACATTAGAAAATGCAAGAGAACTGGAATACATGACCCATATTAAAGTGGTCCGGGCATTCAAAGTTCAATTCCCTAGATTGTCTAGGGCAACCTAGACAATTTCTTTGTCCCAATGTTGTCACGATTCTATGTTCTGATATGGGGTCACCAGGAGAACAACGTTAACACTGCCATGAATGGGACCTAAAATGTGGAGAGTGTATTACTTTTTTTTTTTTTTTAAAGATTTTATTTATTTATTCATGAGAGACACACAGGGAGAGAGGCAGAGGGAGAAGCAGGCTCCCAAGGAGCAGGGAGCCTGATGCGGAACTCGATCCCAGGACCCTGAGATCGTGACCTGAGCCGAAGGCAGATGCCTAACCATCTGAGCCACCCAGGCGCCCTACTTTTTTTTTAAGTTGAGAATTTTGAGGGGATTTTACCATAAACAATTCCCAACTGTGGTTCCTCAGTCCCTCCAAATCTAACATTAAGTCTCATATTGAAATATGTGACCCCCTTGACTAGCCTTTTTCATAGGAATGAAAGCAGATCAGTGCATGTGATAGGACATTACACTCGAATATTTCTTGCAGTCACCAGGCTGGAAGCATTAGTTCAATTGGCACCTTCAGCTTTAATTCTTACTGCTCCCGCTGACATCTATGATGGGACAGCCCTTTGCTTTTGCTATTCTGTTAGAGTAGCCAACAATCCAATCTGTAGGACTCAAGCGCAATTTAAGCGTTCCGTACCTTTTAAGGGGACCTTTTTTTTTTTTTTTTTTAAAGATTTTATTTATTTGACAGAGAAAGACACAGCGAGAGAGGGAACACAAGCAGGGGGAGTGGGAGAGGGAGAAGCAGACTCCCTGCCGAGCAGGGAGCCCGATGCGGGACTCGATCCAGGGACTCCAGGATCATGACCTGAGCCGAAGGCAGTCGCTTAACCAACTGAGCCACCCAGGCGCCCCTAAGGGGACCTTTTTTCAGAGAACTCGGAAAAGGAAAGCCAGCGGTAAGTTGAAGGGCACCATGCCGGGAGTAGTTAAACCACAAACTTCGTGCCTTGCCCTCCGGGAGCTTGGAATTCCAGCACCCGCTCCTTAACGCACCAACCTAACAACTTATATCCACGACACACAGTGGATGCGAGGGTTACTCAACTTTGAACAGTCAACACTGTCCCCTCCACTAAGCGCAGTCGGACACACTCCCCCCCCCCCGGAACTCCAAAGCGAAAGAGACCTCCCCTTTGGCCACCTTTACTGCCTCCTCCCAGCACCACCGACCAAGTGTCCCCAGAGGGTCCCAAGCGAGGCCGGGACCCGACGGCTGCTCCGGTCTCCGCGTCCCGGGACACTCAGGAGTCGCTGCCGGATGCCCCGCTCCCCCGCACCCCCTCGACCTCCTTCGGCCCCGCTCCTCACTCCGAACCCGTCCGTCCCCGCCGGGCGGCCCGCCGGTCCCACCACCTCTTCCCCAGACAAACCCGGAATAGGGTGCCGGCCCCCGCCCAGGGGCGGTCTCAGGCCCAGCCGGGCCGCGCGGACTCCCCGGCTCCCGCCCCGAGACTCGCGCCCGGATGCAGGCGGGGAAGCGCCAGGGGGCCTGGCCCGGGCGCCCACCTCCCCCGGCCAGGGCAGGACAGGACTCACCTTCGTACTGCAGGTCCACCAGGACCAGCAGGAAGGGGAACACCGAGCCCAGCCGGCTGGTCACAGAGCCGGGGGCCACCATGTCCGAGGGCGCGGGCGGCGAGGACGAGAGAGGGTGCGGGGCCCACGAGCCCCGCCGGCGCTCAGGCTGCAGCTGCGCCCGCCCGCCGTCCGCTCTCGCTCAGGCCTAAGCGGCAGCTGGCGCCCACCGGAGGAAGGCAGCGGTGGGCGGAGCCCGGGCGACGCTACGCCCCGAGCGCAGCTGCCGCCCAATCGCCTTCTTCCCGGCTGCTCTCCTACTGGGCTCGCCGGGGTCGTGGTTCGCGTTGATAGGCTGCGGGGGCCGCCGCCCCGCCCCATCTCTGATAGGACAACGTGGAAGCACGAGACGAGGCTGCGTCCGCTGGTCGTGGAGCTGTCAGGGAGCTCCAAACGGCCGTGGCGGGTCGGAGGGAGGCGGCCGCGGGGCGTCTGTGTGGCGGCCGCCGAGTCCGCATGCGCAACCCGCGGATGCCTTTTCGGGTCGCTCCCGGAGCTGGTAGGTTAGCGAGGAGGAGGTTTTCCGGTGGGCTGTTTAGAGAGGAAGGTGAAGCCGCCGCGTCCGCGAATAAAGAGCCAAGCGTCGTCCCAGGAAGCCCGAGCGCCTGGAGTGGAGGTCTCGGAATGGACCGGTGAACAGCACGCTTCACAGAGCCTGCTACCGCCAAGCCGAGCGTCTCGGAAGGAGCACAGCCTCCTCTGAAGAGTGCGCGAGAAACGGTCAGAGGCCGGAGCTCTGTAGAGTAGGAGGAGCTGATGGAGGTTGAAGCAGGTCAGGGACAGCCGAGAAGGATCTTAGTGACCTGAGGCCCGGAAGAATGGCTTGGAAGCCTGGAACACCCCTCCCCACCACTGGCCAGCGTGCCCAGGAAAGAGAGCAATTCTGGAAGATTCTGCGAAGAAGAAACCAGGAGGCACAGCAGCTAAGAGAGCAAGGGGCTCTGGGGACTGTAGCGCACGTCAACGGGGGGCTGGGAGGGGGGGGCGGCAGGAGAGTCCTGTTAGAACGGATCTTGCATCTTGTGTTCATCAGAGGAAACTCAACAAGAGAGATAGAAACTTGAACAAGATAAGACTCAAGTTACTCAATTTAGCGTTAAGTTTGTTGAAGGCCATTTCCTCCGGTGTCCCCAGCACAATCCGAAGTGCATGCTCTACACCAGTGATGTTTTAGCTGGAGTAAAAGAGTAATGCTTTTCTGTGTTTATTGTCAAATGCAAACTTATTAGTTTACCAATAAGTATAAAAATATTCATGTAATATTTATGATAAATACATGAATCTTTGGGCAGTTGGAATGAATAATTGATTTTTTGCAAACTGCTCTGTGTCCACCCCCCATGTTCATTGCACCATTACTTAAAATAGCCAAGACATGGAAACAACCTAAGTGTCCATTAAGAGATGAATGGATAAAGAAAATGTGGCATGCATGCACATACATGTGCACACACACACAGAGGACTATTATTTAGCCCTAAAAAGTAGGAAATCTTGCCATTTGCAACAACGTGTATGGACCTTGTGTGCATTATGCTAAGTGAAATAAGTCAGAGAAAGATAAATACTGTATTATCTCACTTATATGTGGAATCTAAAAAAAAACTCATGGATATAGAGAAGGAATTGGTGGTTGCCAAAGTGGGGAAGGGAGAAATGGGTGAAGGTGATCAAAAAGTTCAAACAAACATCCAGTTGTAAGTCCTGTGGATATAATGTACAACATGGAGACTATAGTTAACAATACTATATTGTATATTTGAAAGTTGCTAAAGGAACCGATTTTTTTTTTAAGATTTTATATATTTATTTGAGAGACAGAGTGAGAGCACAAGCAGGGGGAGGGGCAAAGGAAGCCAGAGAAGCAGGCTCCTGGCGGAGCAGGGAGCCAGATGGGGGGCTCGTCAAACGACCCTGAGATCATGACCTGAACCAAAGGCAGACATCCAACCAACTGAACCACCGAGGCACCCCTAAAGGAATGGATCTTAAAAGTCCTCATCATGAGAAAAAAAGTGTAACTATGTGGTGATAGGTGTTAACTAAACTTATAATCGTTTTGCAATGTGTACATATATCAAATCATTGTACACCTACAACTAATACAATGTTATATGTCAGTTATATCTCAATAAAAAATTTAAAAACAGAGAAAGCTCTATTTCTTCTGATTTGATTATATGAAATCAATGATAATACAATATGTTTTTTTTAAGATTTTATTTATTTATTTGACAGACATAGCGAGACACAGCGAGAGAGGGAACACAAGCAGGGGGAGTGGGAGAAGGAGAAGTAGGCTTCCCGCTGAGCAGGGAGCCTGACGCAGGGCTCAATCCCAGGACCCTGAGATCATGACCTAAGCCAAAGACAGACACTTAACAACTGAGCCACCCAGGCGCCCCAATACAATATGTTTTATATGCAATGCAACTCTTCAAAACAAACTTTCTAAATTAAGTGAAATTCTAATAGTCAATGTCTTTAAAAAGGTTTCTTGTGAAATTCTTATAACACAAATCATAGAGCTTTATTATTTTCCAGATCTCATATCTAAGTTATATCCTTACATCTAAATCCGAGCATAGAAAAATTGTATTAAATGTAAATGTTATAAACAAAATAATTAAATGACAGATAATGTCAAAATGGATAATAAAAGAAATAACATGAATCAATTATAAGCTGTCTACATGGTATGATGAACCTCACTTTATGGTCAATTGATTTCAACAAGGATGCCAAGATAATTCAATGGGGCAAAGGTAGTCACTTCAACAAATGATGCTGGGACAACTCTATATCCATGTGCAAAAGAATGAAGTTGGACCCTTTCCTTAGACCACACACAAAAACTAACTCAAGTTGGATCATAGACCTAAATGTAAAATCTAAAACTATATAACTCATATAAGAGTAGTAAATCTTCATATTCTTGGGGTAGATAAAGGCTTCTTAGATACAACATCAAAAGTACACACACAGAGGAAAAATTAAAGTGGATTTCATAAAAATTTAAAATTTTTGTGCCCCGAAGGACACCATCAAGAAAATGGAAAGACAATACACAGAATGGGAGAAAAAAATGCAAATCATATATTTGATAAGGGACTTGTATCCAGATGGTGTGTGTGTGTGTGTGTGTGTGTGTGTATGACTCAAGAATAAAAAGACAACCCAATTAAAAAATGAGCAAAGAATCTGAATAGGCATTTTTCCAAAGAATATATATAAATGACCAATAAGTACATGGAAAGATACTCCATATCATTAGCCATTAGGGATATGCAATTCAAAACCACAATGAGATGCCACTTCATACCCACCTTGATGGCTATAATCAAGATGAGCAATAGCAAGAGTTGGTGAGGATATGGAGAAATGGGAACTCTCACATATTGCTATTGGGATGTAAAATGGCACAGCCACTTTAGAAAACAAACATCAAAGTGTTAAATATAGAATTACTATATGACCCAGAAATTCATCTCCAGTTAAGAGAATTGAAAACATGTTCACACAAAATCTTGCTACACAGACGTTCCTAGCTATTATATGTTCATAATAGTCAAAGGAGAAACAACTCAGGTGTCTATCAACAAGAGAGTGCATAAACTGTGTTAGATCCATACAATAAAATATTATTTGACTATAAAAAAGGAATAAAGTGGGGCACCTAGGTGACTCAGTCGGTTAAGCATCTGCCTTTGGCTCAGGTCATGATCCCCGGGGTCCAGGGATTGAGCCCTTTGTTGGGCTTCCTACTCAGCAGGGATCTGCTTCTCCCTCACCCTTTGCCCCTCCCCCCACTTGTGCTGGGGGTGGGGAGCTCTCTCTTGTTCTTTCTCAAATAAAATCTTTTTTAAGGGTGCCTGGGTGGCTCAGTCGTTAAGTGTCTGCCTTCAGCTCAGGTCATGATCCCGGGGTCCTGGGATCGAGCCCCACATTGGGCTTCGTGCTCCGCAGGAAGCCTGCTTCTCCCTCTCTTGCTCCCCCTGCTTGTGTTCCCTCTCTCGCTGTGTCCCTCTCCGTCAAATAAATAAATAAAATCTTTAAAAAAAAAAATCTTTTA